TACCTCACCGATAATAGGAGAACACAGGCACCGTCTTGCCAGGAGGCTGTGAAGCTCTTCAGCCAGTCTGGCAAGCTGGCCGCTCTGTCCTCGCTAGAGCTGGGCAGTACCTCCAACATCAAGTCTTGCTATGGGCTGGATCTTCGCTTTGACTTTCCGCACATCCGCGCGCACCACATCCAACGACGCCGAGATGACTGTCGACAACCTTGACGAAAAAATCGCAGCACCACCCGGTAAGATGCATGCTGAGTATCAAAGCGACACTGCCAAAAGGATTGATGAGAAAAACCTCTTCTGCATGAACACGCACGGTCGCGAACACCAAGCTCGCAACTCGTCACGGGTGGTGACCAAGGACAAGGACAGCAAGGGAGCCTGCTTGCCAGAAACTCAGATGAGGACAAGTCAATCAGGCACAATGCGCAAAGACCTTGCGGCAAGAGAACCACTAGCTTGATGCACACCGACTTGTGCGATGCAAACGGCAAAGCCAGTGGGGTGGCGGTGTACCGCACCAGGCTAAAATAGTCCATCTCCTCCATCTGTTGTGCCCCATGAACCCATTGGATCGGTCCAAAACTCGAAAAAGCCCTTGGCAATGAACCTGGCCCTATCTAGCCGCATTGAACCTCCATGGAGCCCCCGACCCTAGGCCTCTGCTGCCGGAAGCACCAGCGACGCAAGGAGCGCGGCTAGGCCTCTGTGTCGGCCTGGGGGCTGCGGTTTACTGTACCCAGCGGCGAAGCCTACAGCGGCGAACAAGATCCTCGTAGAGAACCTAAGCAGGATTTACGCATGCATTCAAGTATGGATGGAGGGATGGAGGGATCGACGGATAGATAGATAGATAGATAGATAGATAGGCAAGCAGACAGACGGGTAGACAGCAAGATGGGTGGAGGGAGAAAATGCGCAGGCATACACTTGCATGCATGTAGAGAAGTGCTTGTCTTCAATAAGTTTCTGTAGCTGAAGCCTTGTGGTCGGACTTGCTCTTATAATTTCTTGGGGCCTTCGGGGAAGTTGCCTGTGAAACCAAGGTGTTGTGTCTGAACTCACTTATACTAAAGGAGGCATCCCTGTCGGTCAGCCGAGCTCGCAGCCACAGGGCAGCAGTTTCAGCCACGGGGTCAAGTTTTCGGTGCAGACAGGTTCGTAGGGCAAGCTGGCCTCGGATCCATGGCCGGCAGCAAGCGATCTCTTCCGAACTTCCCACTGGGGGCCCAGCGAGTCTCACATGTTTGGCCGTCCAGCTGCTGGGAAGGGTCAGCGGGCGAGCACCGACGCCGGACGTCAAGAGCCTCCCATTCACTCTAACCTCTCCTCCGCTGCTCCGAGAAGCAGAGATTGCCTCGCAGCCGGCGAGGTGCCGCCACCCTCTGCAATGGCGACGGCGTCGCTCGAAAGAGTAGGGTCCATGCCTGGACGGCGGGCTGCTGGACTCAAGTCAAACAAACTTGCGCAGCGACCTTCGAAGGAAGCGCATAAAGCCCCTGCCAGTGTCGACACCTTGCAGCGGGCGCAGTCAAGAGAGAAACGTGGCAGAAGCCTTGAATAGCAAGGTAGAGCGGGAATACGGAATCGAAACAAAGACTCACGGAACAGAGTCTTCTTTGAAAGAGGATCATGCCCTCCTTAAAAAGCAAAAAAACGCGTTGCTTAACCCCCAGCCGAGGTTCCAGGAATCGATAGGCCGTCGCAAGCTCCGGATCCTTGCTGCCCTGGGCGCGAAGCCACCGGAAAAACATGGGGAGGGCTACCATGGGAGTTTTAAAAACTCGGAGCGAGAGTGAGGGTGAGGGGTGAAGGTGAGGGGCCAGGAGAAGGGATAAGGGGCGAAGGTGAGAGTGAGAGTGAAGTGGGGTAAGATGAAAGCGAGAGTGAGGGTGAGGGGTGAAAGCGGGGCGAGGGTGAGGGGCGGTGAAGGTGGAAGCGACGGTGAGGAGTGAGGGTGAGGGTGAGAGGTGAGGGGTGAGAGGGGCGTGAGACTGAGGGTGAGAATGAGGGGTGAAGGTAAGAGAGACGGTGCGACTCAAGTGTTTTTGGAAATCCGGATGAAATGAGTCGACAACTGGCAGACGGAAGGTTAGCCAAGGCCTAGGGTTTCGGTCTCCATTTTGCATTGCCCAAAGTCAGGCTGTGCATTGACAGCATCTTCGTAACCAGTCCTGCCACACTCCTCGGAAGCTTGACCAGAGCTTGTCAGATCCCGGCACGCCAATACTCAAACAACCGTGGCTACAATATAGTAGTCGCAGCACCTGCTGACGATCAACCAACCTCAACTTCTGACCTGGTCGTGGAGGGATTGGTGAAACCATTCCAGAAGGGTAGTTCAGCGATTGGATATTGCAGGATAAGCCCACAAATTACAGGGTTTTCAAGGTACGGGCCTGTCCACCTCTACAGCATTGGTAGGGCGGTTATCTCACTACAGCTTTTTTCGCATGCCTACCCATTGACGGTACACTCATCTTGACTTCGGCTTGCGACACGGGTTTCTGTGAAGCCCAAGCTCTTGTAAAAGTGGATTGCCCGGGTGGTGGCAGACCAGCTGCACGTCCGAGAATCTCCAGCCACGCCGCCGAGAGGCATCGATAGCAGCCTCTACCAGCATCTTGCCTAGCCCGCATCCGTGGTAGGAATTCTTCACCTTGAGGTAGCAGATCCGAACTGATCTGTCGCAGAAGCGAACACGAATGTTGTTCTGGGCGGTGTTGATGCACGT